TAATTATGTCTAAGTGGATGAATCTAAGGTGAGTTTTGTGATTTCTTGTTGATGGATAGGAGTAGATTTTTCGTGCTATGATTATGACGACTTTGGCTTTGGGTAAATATGATTTTTATGATCTTTGTGTGTAATTTGTCATGCTAGTAAAAGATGAATATGATAAAAGAGTTTTATATATATATATATATATATATATATATATATATATAGAATTTAGAGATTTCAAGGTTTTTCAAAATCTCATGCTTTCTAAAAAATTGAGCATTTAGGCTTTTTTTTTTTTTTTTTTAAGTTTGATTCTTTAATAAGATTGATTACATAATAAAATTTTATTTTTGGATTTAAATTTTTTTTTTTAGTTTTTTGATGAATTTTAGGGTGTTTGAATATTGAGAAAGTGTGAGAAAATGATGGATTGGTGGAAGTCTCTTAAGTATTAATCTTTATTTTTGTTCCATATTAATTAGTTGAAATTTTAAAATTTTGCTAATACCTGTGTTGCTTTTTTATGAAAGCTTCAAAATTTGAAAAATGTTGCCTTATTTAGCTTAGTTTTTAGAAAAACAAAAATGGCAGATTTTTCATTTTAAAAAATTTTAAGTTTTTGCATTTTTTATGTTAAAAATAATTTTTTTTAATGTTTAATCTTTGTTTTTAGAATAAATAATTTCACTTTTATATTAAAAATACAATTTTATCCCTATTTTCCCTTCAACCAAAGACATATAATTTGTTTCATTTTATTTTTCTTGCTATAATACACATTTATGATGGAATCTTATTTTCAATCAAACCAAAAACATTTAATCTTATTGAATCAAATTAAAGATGATATCTTTAATTAAGAAAATTCAAAAACGTTAAATCCTTAATTGAGCATTTAACCAAATGAAAAAACTATAAGCATAATTTGAATAAAAAGTATTTCGATCAAAATAGTAATGTAGATGCGATAATGGAAAAGCTATCCCATTGTGTAATCAAGTGGCAATATGAATAATTAGTTAGATTTTGATTCTCAAGGAAAGAAAATGTACTAATTTAGAATTTTTAACATTATTTTTTTAATACTAAAAGTGTTTTATGTTTTTAGTTACTAATATTTGAATTTTTGCTCTATACACAACGCAATTGCTTTACATGACAAGAAAAAAAAGGATTGGGGTTGTTAGTAGAAAGCAACAAAAATATAGTCATACGAACAGATCAAAAAGTTTTACAAGAAAACAAAAAGAAAAGTAAGTTAAGCTTGAAAAATGTTACATTTTTGTGTTTTTAAGAGTTTTTGTGCCTTCAAAGGGTGAAATTATAAATTTTTTGCTATATTTCTATTTTAACAGTTTAAATAGCTTTAATACATGATATTAACCTTGTCCGAATTGTTAAATTTGATTGCCACACTTGATATATGTGAAAATATTATGGTTTATGTTTTTAGCACTTTTTGTACCGTTAAAGAGCAAAAATGAATATTTGCTTCTATATTTCTATTTTAACAACTTAGATAGCTTGAGTACATGATATTAAACTTATTCGAGTGGTTGAACATAGTTGCCATGCTTGGTATATGTGAAAATATTATGATTTATATGTTTTAGGGACTTTTTATGCTATAAATGACTTTTTGTGCCTTAAAATAGCAAAAATATAAATTTACTGTTATATTTCTATTTTAACAACTTAGATAGCTTGAATGCATATTATTAAATTTGTCTGAATGGTTAAACTTGGCTATCATGCTTGGTATATGTGAAAATATTATGGTTTATGTATTTTTGGGATTTTTTGTACCATAAAAGGGCAAAAATATAAATTTGCTATTATATTTCTATTTTAGCAACGTAGATAGCTTGAATATATGATATTAAATTATTCGAATGGTCAAACTAGGCTACTATACTTGATATGTGTGAAAATATTACAGCTTATGTGTTTTAGGACTTTTTATGTCGTAAAAGGGTAAAAATATAAATTTGCTGCTATATTTCTATTTTAATAGCTTAGATAGCTTGAATACATGGTATTAAACTTGTTTGGATGATTGAACTTAGCTGTTACACTTGATATATGTGAAAATATTATAGTTTATATGGTTTTAAGACTTTTTCTACTGTAAAATGGTAAAAATGTTAATTTACTGCTATATAATAGCATAGATAGCTCGAATAAATGATATTAAACTTGTTTGAATGATTGAATTTGGCTATCATGCTTGGTATGTGTGAAAATATTATGATTTATGTGTTTTTAGAACTTTTTATGTTGTAAAAGGGTAAAAATGTAAATTTGCTACTACATTTCTGTTTTAATAGCTTAGCTCGAATATATGATATTAAATTTATCCAAATAGTTGAACTTGGCTACCACGTTTAGTATGCATGAAAATGGTATGTGTGAAAATATTATGGTTTATATGTTTTTAGGACTTTTTATGTCGTAAAAGGTAAAAATGTAAATTTGCTGCTATATTTCTGTTTTACAATTTAAATAGCTCGAATATATGATATTAAATTTGTTCGAATGGTTAAACTTAATTGCCACGCTTGATGTGTGTGACAATATTACAGTTTATATGTTTTTAGAACCTTTTGTTATTGTTTGTATGTGTTTTTATGTAAGAAATTGAGTGTAGTGAAAAAATTATGTGTGGAACTTTTTAAAATAACTCACACAAAAAAAGATGGATTTTACTTGAATGTCAAAATGCGAGAAATTGTGGTAATTTCTTAAATTCATTTTATGCAAACAATAAATTTACTTTTCAAATATCTTAAGATTAATTATTAAACTTAATAGTTTTATTTGATTAATTTACAAGAAAAAGTGAAACAAAAAATGGCTGTTAAGAATGAAGCATCATCCGATTATTCTATTAACATTCAAGACCTTGAAAGTCGGATATACACAAAAGTTGTTGAAAAAGAAAGACATAGACAAGTTCAAAGCTTTGGATTGTGTCTAACACTATCTAGCTACTATGGATGTAGTTTTCAATAATTTATATTCTTAACAAGTTAGTCTTCACAAAATTTCTCCATATTGAGAGATGGATTGCAAACTATGTAACTATATGTTGAACAAATAAAAGCACAAAGAAAAGTAAAGCATGCTAGACTAGAAGATAAGCATACTAGAATGGATCACGATCATGCAAGATATTAGCAATTACATGAATGATTCAACACACTAATGAATTTTGCGTAACAATAATTTCTATGAACTAATCCTGATGGTCCACCAACCACCAACTCAGGTATTAAATTTAGTAACTATTTATATATTTTAATCCAAATAACTTATTATTAAATGTAAAACTTATTTTACTTTATTCAGTAAGCTCTTGAGCACGCTAGTGATCAAGTGAAAAAAATCCTTTATCAAATAACTGTGCTCCAATTGCTAACAGTCATTAATTTCATTTTTTTAAAATTTTTATTTAATTTTATAATTGGAAAATTTTTAATTTTAATTGTATTTAACTTTTTAATGTACTAAAACAAATTATGTCTAAATATTTAGATGTTTATAATATTTAGGTTATGAATTTCAATTAAGTTTTATTTGTTTCATTTTTTTATATAATTATAATAATAAATATTGAAAAAAAATTTAAATATAGTAAATTTTAGAATTTAACAACATTTTAAATAATAAAACACCACTAAATTATAGAAAATAGTTGCATTTATAGTAAAAAAAGCTGCTAAATGAAAGATTTCTAGTCCTTTGGAAACCCTCTAAGCATTTGTGAAACCCTGCTAAAGCATAAAAAATGTCACTAAATTTGATAGTATTTGTTTCGAAAATGCTACTAATAAATTAAAAGCATTTAAATGTTGCAAAATTTAGTGACGTTTGACTCCAAAACACACATTTGTCTCTAAGACGCTACAAAGTTGGTAGTATTTGTGTCAAAAACGTCATTAAAATTTTTGATACAAGTATAATGATGTTTATAAACGTCGCAAAAAATGCAAATAAACATCGCTGAAAAGCCTATTTTACTATAGCTACATTATTATATCCCAAAATTTTTCATTAAACTTAAGTGTATTTTAATGTGCAATGTGTTTTAAAAACAAGTTAAAACTATGTAAATTAAAAAGGTGTTCCGCACGTTGTTATGTGTAGACTTAACAATTTGTGTATTCATATTATATAAAATCATGAAAATTCATGTATTCATATTGTGTTTTATACAAAAATTATCTGTCATAATTTGTGTCTACAAAAAGAACACGAAATAAATTTTTATTTATGTTAAATCCATATATGTTTTTGTTAAAATTTTAACATGTGTCCTTTTCATTTTTTTGATATTGTTTTTACATCTTGTTAGTAATATCTTGTTTTGAATTGTTTGATTTAGCTGTAGGTAATTTTTTTTATTTTACCATATTTATTCATCGTCTCTTTTTTTTTTTGCTACAATTTTTTTTAATAATTTTACTATGACTATTGTATGTATATTCTATAACATTAACTAACCTTCTTTGCTTTAATAAAAATTTCACTTAGTCTATTTTTAAGATTCAAATTCGATATCTTTAAATTAAATGATTTTATGACTTTTAGATTATTAGTTTCAAAATATTTTGGTTGCTTCAAATAGGAAAATTCAAAATTTTTAATATTTTTCTATTCAACATTAAAAATATATATATATATATATTTAATTAAGTTTGATATCAAGTGACACACCAAGTTAATTGAAGACTTCATTTAAAAATCAAATTAAAGTTACAATCTATAATAAAATAAAATTAAAAGTATTTTAAAATCATTTAAAAATATTTTTATAAGGTAATATTTTTAAAAATAAGCATACATTTTAAAGAATAAAAAAATTAATTAAATTTTATTTACTTATATTTTGGTGACAAAAAACAGTTTTTTAATTAATTTTTTAATTTAAAAAAACTGACTGGGCCACTTGGGTGGGATGTAAAAGCGGATGATGGACTCCAGAGTCCAGTGATCTTTGCACATCCGCCGAATGCAACTATAAAAGGGCAAGGCCGAAACAAAAGAACGGAGTTTTGATTGTTGGAGAGGAAGAAGAGAAAGACAAATGCGGAGGGGGACTCAAATCTTACGCAAAAGCCGCAAAGTTGTGGAGGATCTCAACTTGCTTAAAATCTTGCAATCTGAAATATCCCACGAACTCACCTCCAATTATTTCCAGGTTCTTTTATTTTTCTTTTTCCTTGGTTTTTTCATTATTCCTCAAAAAACAAAAACCATAAATCTTAATGTTTAAATTTGATGGCTGATTCATTTATTAATGGATTTGGGACTTGTTTGGTCGATGAACTCGCTGGGAATGCAATGCGTAATTATGGGTTTGATTATTGGATAGGCGTTTAGTCCTCACACAAAAGCTCTGTTTCTTTGTTCATTGATTTTTAGGCTGTGGAGTTTATGGCCGAAATGGGTTTACTATAAAGTTCAAGATTATTTACTGTGATTTCATTGTTAATTTTGCTACTCGCAAAGCTTTTTGCTTACCAAAGCAAAAAGGACAAGGTGCATTTGGATTAGAATGGCAATTGGAGTATCCATGTCATGTTTATTTCTTGTCAAACACATGTAAAATATGGAAATTGTTGTGTCACAATTCATGCTATACGCCAAACACGAAACACATTTTTTTTTGTCAAATTCATATACAGTTTTTGCTAAAATTTTTGAACCATGTCTCTTTAAGTTTTTTCTTTTTTTGTATTATTTTTATATCATATCATCGTATCATATTTAAAGTTGTTGGGTCTAATTTGGATAAAGAAAACATATGCTAATATTTTTGAAGAAATAAAAAATAGTAGTTATTTGGAACACAGAAAGCATGTTACCTTTATGTAGAATAGTTTGGTAGAATTAATATATTACATTATAGCTATATTCTTTTTAACCAATTGTGATTTTGCTTTCTAGCATTTTCTTTTGCCTTTTAACAATTTTTTAGGAAGTAAATCCCAAATACCAAATAAATGCCTTGCAAAACCAACAAACCAGTAGAGCATTCAGTTTTAATACTTGGGAAAACAGTGCCTTTTTACCCTAAATGCTGTAAACACAAATGATTTTGCAGAATCTGGTATTACCTCTTATCTTTTAGTTATCAGTCTAGACATTATAGGGAACTGAAAAAAGAGAAATGAACACACCGATATTGTTCAGGTTTCTCACATAGCAGTGGGGTTAGATCATGTTGTTTTGATGATAGTTTATAGTTTATCTTGACGTTTAAACATCTTAAAACTTATGCCCAGCAGTTCTAGCATTATTAATTTGGTCAAAATGGGCATGTTCTATATTGATTCAGGATAAAGAAAGCGGTTCTCTAGGAGATTTTACACTGGAGTGGAATTCATCGCTGTCACAGGATGTTGTTTTGCAGAGAAAAAGTGAGTCCGGTGAAGAGATTGCTGTTTCAGCTTTGTTGGGCCAGGAGACATATGGTGAGGGTCAATTTCCAAGGGAAGTTTTAATGAAGGTTTGTGTAAGAAAGCCCGGCTTGAACTCCATGTTGCAGTTTGATTGCGGAGTTTCTGAGAAAGGTGTTCATGGATCTCACTTCAACATCCATAGTGCTTATTATCTTCAATCGTCAACCGTTCCTGGTTCTTCAGTCTACAGAGGTCCTTCCTTCAGGTGAATATTTTTGCTGTCGGTATTCTACTTATCATATTCTACATGTTGTAAAGAATGCTACTTATCATTCAATAATGATTGCTTTTCTATATTCCTTTAGGGTTACTATTGTGAACAGCCCCTGAACTATAATAAAATGCTCAATGTGATACTTGAACTTTAAAAATCTCTAATTTGATACATTAACTATAAATCTATTAACTAAAATGGTATTGACCTCTAACGTGGTTAGCTCCAAATGATGACATATGGCAGACACATAGCCTTTCAAGTATCACATTAGTTAATAGATTCATAGTTCATGTACTACATTAGAGATTTTTAAAGTTCAGGTATTATATTGAACATTTCACTATAGTTCAGGGGCCATTCGTGACATTATCGCTATTCTTTTGTTTCATAAATGTTAGTTCATTTTAAATTTATATCATTTCTTGGTTTAATCATTATAAAGGGGAGTGGATAAGCTAATGTGGTCTTTAGGTCATTCCAGCAATTATACTTCCGCCTTCCCCCCATTTTTGTTGACTTTATTACTTGGGATGTTATGCTGGTTAGAGTATGTGATTGAGAAGGGGACTCTAATAACTAAATCCAACTAATTTTGTGATTAAGACTAGTTAGAAGTTTGGGATTAAATTAACAATAGAAGTCAAAATTGTTAGCTTTCTTTAATTTTCTTTGGGTACATTATGGTATACATGATCATTAGAAAATAATTATCCATCTTACTTTCTCTTCAATTTTATGTCTGCACTCTGCAGCTCTTTGGACCCTCAATTACAAGATGCACTCAAGGAATATCTTGTAGCCAGGGGAATTGGAGAAAACCTGACCAACTTCCTCCTCCTCACCCTACATAAGAAAGAACAAGGTCAATATTTGGACTGGTTAAGGAAACTTGAATCATTTGCTGCAACAGACAAGTGAGATAGATTATTGCAGGCAGCAGGTTGAAGTTATACATTGCTTCCACATTTTTGCATCACTGATGCTGTCTTATGTTGTAGTGGAAAAGGTATGTTGATCAAGTTCAAGTGCCAGTGCCGTTTAGGCCCTCGTTGGGGTTTTGGCACAGCACAAGTCACTTCCCACCAAACTGGCTCTTAGTAATTAATTTTCTTACTTGGCTGGAATGGTACTTTGGAGTAGTATAACTTATATTATGTAGTTATCATGGAGCATTTTTACCTTTTTCTGGAATTTTCATGTTTTTAATGACATTAATAGCCGTGAATTAGAGAAAATAAACATATATTCCGAGGCATGTTTAACAGCTGGATATTCATAGCCATCCTGGTTTCAACAGTAGCATTTACGTGGTCTTAGGATTTAGGTAGCAGCATTATGGCAGGCAGTTGTGTCTAACGTCCAATAACATCGATACGGTCAAGCTTTTAGATACCACTCTGGACAGAGCGGCACTTTATATCAGTATCAGTGTAATTTAAGGTCTTAACCGATGCATTGGCTTTTTATATATTGCAAACTTAGAATTGATGGGACATAATTCTTAATATTGCTTTGGCAATGAATTATTGATTTACAAATACTGGTGGAATGTGAATGTACAAGGAAATGAAGCCGCCCTGAAAAACGTTCAAAGACAGATTTCTCTTGTATACAATCATTGCTTAAGGCTCCCACTGCATCGAAAGGGGCCTTTTTCTGACATCAAATACGTGCATCCGGAATCCGCATATCTTGAACGGAAATGTAACAAGTGTTCCATGCATAAAAAGCCAAAAAGCATAATGGATGAAGCTAACGAATAGGAAGGTTTCCCAAATAAATAAGAATAGAGCATCTGATACAAGGGAAAATATTCCTGTGTTGGCGATTAAAGTAACATTGCAGGATAAATTAGAAAATCTCTCACTCTCACATTCTCTACTAGATGTTTTTTACCAAGAATCTACCGTTTAACTTCACTATGCTCTTCATGGAAGCACGATATTCGCAGGTCAGCTAAAAAGAAAATTGGTAAATATGATGAATCACTTATCTGAACCGACGCTTTGCTTCTCCATAAGCAACAACACCAAGGACGGTCATCATATAACCAGCGATGCCAACAACCGTGACAGGATTTCTGAACATAAGTATTGAGATAACAACAGCCACAGCACCTTTTGCATTGCCTAATACCTGATCATAATATCATCCCAAAGGAAGATGAGAAAAATGCAAGAACCGGGTGAAACAACAATGTTCCATGTTCTTTCAGGAGAAATACGAAAGGAAAATTTCCAATCGATTACAAGCTTTTAGTTGAGGTTTCAGCCATGTAGATATTATATGAAGGAGTGATTGAGTAAGGATATAGAAGGATGACAGGGATTGAAGTGCGTTTCTCCTACCTGGGATTCTTTTCCAAGCCACTTGAGGATATAAAGGGTTAAGTTTATGTTATACCCTTTAGTCCAACCCCATCAGATACTAACATTAGTGAAGGCATTATTTTAGGTCCTTGGTCGTTAATATATCCGATGAAGGACAACCAGTTCCTATGCAATAAAATGCTTTCTTGAAAACAAAGTATGCAGTTTCTTGGCTAGGTACCTGATTAACGCATTGGTTAACAAGACTACAAGATGATACAAATGAACAAGCTTGTATAACCTAAAGACTGACAACATTTCAGGAGAGTAGAAATGATTGTAAAAAAAGTCATTTTTGTAAAGTGACCTAAGCCAATCATCGGGGATAGGTTTATTGTACTCAAGTCTACAAATTATAGCTATACTAGTGCTTCTACTTTGTGAAACTGATAGAAAGCAGTTAATAACATCAACTTAATGAGAATTTTATGATGAGCATATCAATTTAATGAGAATCCCTTGACGAATTGACTTGGGGCATTGCTTAGTGCTGAAGGTCAATATGTATACCATAATCCATGGAAGTAGACATTAAAAATAAACTAGAGGAAGGCAGAAGAGATTGAACCTGGAGTGTTAAAGCACTTGTATGTTTAGTCACCAAGAAGTTCGACAAGTTAGCTGCATATGCCATTGTTGAATTAACTAGAAGAAGCAGCCACATGTACCTATGCTGTCTTCCAAGTGATAAGATGACTTCTAACACATTGGGCTCCATTATGAGTGCCGCTGGCACTAAAACTAGAACTGCAATTGGGGACATATAGAGTAGCAAATTCATCGAGTTCAACTTTTCCCTGTAAGAATGAAACAACATCACAAGAAGTTCTGTTAAGAGGGAAAGACAAAATAGAAATGCTTATAGGAAAAAAGAAAAAGACCCTAGCAAGTGGTTGGGGAGGAGAGGAAGAAGAAGAAATATTAGATATTCATGACTCACTTTGAAATTATACTAAAAGCTACCGGCACTAATGCATGAATAATTAGTTTGGGAATAAATTTTTTCATATTAAAAAATGAAGGTAATAAAAAAAAGTATATTAGTATCAATCGTTACCAATAAAAATTGAAATATTAAGAAATATTCAAGGTCCAAATATTTGCTCTAATTAATTGCTTGAGTTGGAATGCCAACGTTAAGAGCACGTTAATTGTGAGGTTTCTTTTAGGTGTTGACAATGACATGCAAACAAATTAATTGTGGAAAGTTATTGTTTTTCTTATTCCGCAAAGTACCAATAAAGCAAATGTGATAATCAACAACCAATGACACTTATAAATGAACAAATTGTGGAAAGTTTTTGTTATTCCACTAAATACCAATAAAGCAAATGTGGTAACAACCAATGAGCATGACATTTAGAAAAAAACTAATTGTGGAAAGTTTTTCGTTTCATCTTTATTGTTGACAATGTCCTCCTTGCCAAAAATCTGGCTACCGTCCTTGCTGTCCTTTGCTTAAGAAAGCAAAAGAGGAAAAGAAATATCTAAATCCAATTCGTCAGGTTTTTCAGCCACTTATTGACCCATACCACAGGCTTTAAAAAGTTTTCCTCCACTTAATCCTTTTTCAGCCCCAAAATTTCGTTTCTATAAGGGACAAATGGAAGAAATGCACCCCTCATAGTGGCTGGAGGTAGAATTCAACTAATACATAATATCACAGTTCATTCTTTTTAGTGGATTGCAATGTTAGACAATGACAATAAAATAAACTTAATAGCAGCATTTGTCTACATGAGTGGCACTAACAGGAACTATAAGGCAACTTAACTTTGGTTTCAAACCCAAGTGACCACTTCCCCTTATCCACCTTCTGGTGAACCCCCCATAATCAGGGAAAGGATGAAAAAAACTAAATGCATTGACTTCTGTTATAGAAACTATACACCAACACAAAGAAATGTGCCAATTGCAGATGATTAACTAATAGAAATAAAAGTGTTATACCCTTCCGAAGAAAGCAGGATACCCTGAAGAACAGACTTGAAGGCCCTTGCAGCAGTTGCACTTATGCACATAATGAACCCAAACCAGTGAAAACCTGGTTCACCCTGCCACCAATAATCAAATTCAAAGGTAAAGTCTCATTAAACCAAATGAGTTTCTAAGGAAAAAAGAGGCAAAGGTCCGTTAGAACGGCAGAAAGTTACTTAGAATTCTTTGTCTCTTCCGTAGTTAATAAATCATGAATGGAATGATAGAGTTTTCGAAAAGTTTCTTTTCCACCCTTTATGAAAAATGAATTGATGACATGGTGCAAACAGCCAATTGAACTTGATTCCTAAACTTGACCAAAAACATGAAGATGGCATTATGGAATGAAGTAATGGTTAGGGTGTGTGCAGCCTGCATAGGCTATGGCTATGCTAGCAAGGCAGAGAAATGTATGACTATGAGCACTAAACCTGCCTTCACGTTCTTTTGGGGGGGGTCGGAGAGAGGGAGATGGTTGTACTTAAAACAGCTAAAAAAAGTTCAACAACAGGTTCTACCAGATCAATGGTCAATTATACATCAAAGAAGGCATTACTGATAAACAGATTTGAGACCTCAAACCAGTTTGCTTATTTTTTGCTTCTCTCCATTTGTTTCCTCGGCTAGAAAGGCTTGGACTCTGAAGCCAGTTTGCTTGTATGAGCTATGAATTTCATGCTATACTCTGGATAAGGCTAATCACAATGCAGTCAGTGTCTCTCATAAACATGCTTTGGTCCTGATTACAGTACAAAGTAATTTACATCTTCACTGCACACCTATTGCAGAAAATCACCATGCATATTGAATTACCCTCTAAATTGCTCAGTGCAGGTCAAAATTAGCTCTTAAAGGTCTTGGCATAACTAAATAAGACCGCAAATCTATAGTTTATCATCATAAGGGACGTAAAACACCATCCTAAAAAATAAACAAATTAAATAAGTGCAATCAATGACTGAGTTCTGAGATAACAGCCAACATATAACTTATACGTAGCCAAACCCACCTCTATTTTTAGTCAAGTTTGCTCAGATTTCTATAGTTTCAAGATATCCCAGTCTTCTAGCTGCAGCTGGATGCATAATATTGCGTAAGATTTACTACGACTGACAGAACAAGGACAGTCCTGAAATACGTAGACCCGGAAGACACCAACACATGTAAATGCTACAAATCTTTGCTGTTTCTGTTGTTTCAACTTCTGAAACAAAGTACTCATCTAAGCACAATTTGGACTAATTAATAGAAAAAAAGAGGTGGGGGATTTTTCCTATAAATTGACTGATGCATTCCCCTTGTTAATCTCCTACTACTACATTATATCTACACCACTGAAAAATCTGCTTATGATTAAATGATACTTGGAGATCAAGGCATATATTTACAACTAATTACCATTGACAAATAACATCAATAAAATTTCAGATCTATGGTCTTGTCATCACATAACATTACACACAAACAAAATTATAGAATGAACCTCAAAGCAAGGATAAAAATAAGAAGAAAAATAAACATACCCCACTAGCAATGACAACCCCAGTTACAACAGGAACAAGAGCAGCATAAGTAACCCAGGCTTCTCTCTTGAAAGTCATCAAGTAAGCAAACAAGGCAGTGAAAAATGGTGTGGTAGCACCAACAGCCTGGTTAAAAGACACAGGGAGGTACCTTAAAGAAATGTTACCTCCAACAACTGAAACACAAAAGACAACACTTAGAGTTGTAATCTTTAAAAGCTGAGGCCTGGATTTAATTGGTTGAAGAGGGACGAGTTTCATGAACACAATGGAGATGTAACTGAGGAAAGCACAAGCTGACATGTGACACATCGTTAAAAAGATTGGGAATTTGAAACCATAATTCGAAAGTAAGTACTTGTTTAGGAGAAGAACTCCAATGTTTGAGGAGTACCATAGGATTACAAGTAAAGCTATGAAAAGGGTTTGTTTTCTGGATGATGAAGAGGATGATGGCTGTTGGGTTGATGACATTTTTCGAATTTTGAAGGTTGGTAGGGAAAATGGTTGGATCTGTTGTCGATGAAGTTGATGAAGAAGATGAAAGACAAGAAGAAGAAGCTGTCATTTGAACTTCAATGGAAATTTGGTTTTTGCATTTTCTTGGAATTTTGTTTTTGTTTCTTTATTATTATTATTATTTGTTTTTATCAACCTAGTCTTTGTTATATATATCTTGTTAATATTTATCTTAATTTAAAATTAGATTTATAAAAATGGAAGATTTTCATTTTTTTTTTCAATATAGTATCAAAATGAACCAAATATATATTTCCACTAAATTAAATGCTCATATTGTTGCTCTTTCTTTTTCCTTTTTTTTTTCTTCTCTATTTTAAGACATATTTGTTTGATACGATCAACCATGGTGGTTGTTCATCTTTCAAAATCTCAAAGATTGATAGTAGCACCCTCGAACAAGATATTCATGTTAATAAATTTTTTAGTAGTACATTTTGATGAATAATTTTCCTATTTCTCTTACTTCTTTGTGATTCATGAATAAAAAACTAGCTAATGAACATTGATTAATTATTAAAAAAACAAAAAATTTGATTTCCATGTAATAAAAAATTAGTGACTATTGGTTAACGTACCCTTTAAATTTTGGATATTGCCATCGTTTACTTTTATACATAAATTTGTTTAAATATTTTTATAATAAAATGTATTATTGAAATTAAAATATATTTAATTTAAAATTTAATTCATATAATTAAAATTAAAATATCTATTTTAAAAAATACCATTTAAGATTTAAATTTAAACATTTATAACTTTTTTTTTTACTTTTGAATTGTAAATTTTTTTTACAAAAAGTTGGAATATACTAATGTGATAATAAAAGATATTCAAATAATTAAATTGATGTAAAAATAAAATAAAAAGTTCAATATCTCTTTCATTAAAAAAACCACCGAAAAAGGAAAATTCATTAAAAATTAAAGATTAAAAACACTTACCAACAACTTAAATAATTATTTCTTAAAAAATGGTTAAGACCGCTTTCTGATTATGCCTCTTTGGACGACTCCATCTAATAACATGATTAACGTTAAAAATTTGGAAAAATGTCAAGAAAAGAACAAGATCAACGGCGGCTCCACTTGTTTGTGTTTGATTTTAACCGAATTGGTGGGGAGTCTGCCACTTGTAATACCCAGCTACACTTGCTCAGTTTCTGTCGGTGCTCTTGCTTGGTGGGACGCGCATTTTCAACACTTCAAAAGATTACAATTGATTGACGTCCATTATACAAGTGTCGTACTGCTAACGCCGAATTTAATAAAGCCTACGAATTCTCAACGCCGGTCTGCCACTCTCCTTGGAATTGGAAACTTTTTTTTTCCTATCGTCATGTAATATTTTTTACATAAATTAAAATATAAAAATAAAATAATTATAAGTTTTGAGATTTAAATATTATATTTATTAAATATTAGTTAGCAAGTTTGTGTAATATTACAGATTTATTTAAATTATAATTATAAAGTATTTTTTATATGATAAAAATTTTATTAAAATTATAAAAATTAAAAGTTAAAATTTTATATATAATAAATTTTAATACAAAATCAACCAATAAATTTTCTTTTAAGAAATTACAGTAATTAATTAGAAATTTGAACAAAAACAAGGGCAACACTTGTAAATTGCCAAATCCAGCATTACAATTTTTTTCTCTAATTCTCCAATACACTTGTAAATTGCATAATCGTCGTCTTCTTCATCGAATGACACATCACCTGAAGTCATTCCACTTGTTTAGACAAAACATCAACTTAACTTTTTTAAAAAATAATTATCAATATCTTTTTCTTTCAATCTCTTTAGCTTTTACATCTCGAAAAAGATCCAAAAATGACAGATCAGAGAATATGGCAACCGAAAAAACAAAAGGTTTAAGAGAGATGTAGAATATTAGAATAACACATTTTGTCTACTTTTGATAAGCCCTGTATTTGGTAATAATTACGACATTACAGCCAATTCCTTGATTTCAACAACTATCTCGTTTCAGACGTATCTCTCTTAAACCTTCCTCTTTCGATTTATCACTTGTTTTTAAGGCATATGTTCAATAAAAAAATGATTATTAATAGTATATGTTCAACAAGTGAAGCAATTGCTTTATTTTCTTTATTTCTAGACAAAAAAAGTTGTTAACAGCAATCAATCATTAAGTTTAACAAGAATACAACTGCAATAATTAGACATCATTTAATGAGAGTTAGAGGAAACTAAAAGGTGAAATAAAGAAAACAAGATACATATTCTAAAACTAATGTTTACCTGAGCATTTTATCAAGAAGAAGACACAATCTCCGATTTGCATTTTGATATCTACAATGAATTGACTTATCAAACCTTAAGGAAGATAGAACAGATGATCAAAGAAGAAAGTAATAACAAGTATAAAGAAGAAAAAGATCAAACGAATTTAAATAAAAACCTACTTTTTGTGGCAGTAACTCCACAAAAGTGTAGTAGAAGATTCTCCAAACTATTTATTTTCATTTTCAAGACCCTTTGAGGCTTGAGAACCATGCAAAAGCATAAGTCAACATATTGGTAGGAGTCTAACAAAAATTTTAACTTCAAATTAAAAAACAATCAATTTGTGTATATTCTAATTGCACTCAAAACTAAGCCTAGGCATTTCCATCAAGACAATGGACTTTTTTACTATAGCTTAAAGAAATATAATACATAAAAGACCCCAAGAAGTAGAAATTAGAAACAGAAGAAAGTGTGATCTTTTAAAGTAACTTTTTTACAATTATAAAAGTAGGGCAACCTAATAAAAGGAAAAAAAATTATGTCATCAAAAAATCTTCAACAATCATTTTACTTGCTTATCAGAAGCAAGAACAATAACCTTATAAGGATTGCATTAAAAAATGAGATTATTATAACAAATTAATGAAAATTAGACAAAATCAAAATCAACAGAAAACAAATGTCATGCAAAAGGTAGAATAATAAAGGAAAATGAAGTAGAAGATATTGCCAGCCACTGTCACTCTATAAACAATGACTATGAATGATACAATCAATTACCTTAATTGTAGAACCAATCATCTGAATGAGACAATCAAACACATTAGTCTTTTTCGTTTCAAAAGATTTTCATTGAAAAAGATATTTATAAATGGTAAATGCTGCAATAGGTTTTCCATGATTGAACCTAATATTGTTTTTGTAACGCAATTGATTAATGCGTCAATGTTCTTTTGTTGAAAGAATGGCAGAAAACAATAATGCACTATAAAAAAAGAAAAAGCTTGAAGATGCATAAACCAATTGTTGCAAACACATACATGTTGGCATTCAAGATTGGATCTTTAGAACTTGCCATCAAATTCTATGCTAACATTCTTCACTGGTGTCACATTTTGTGGTTTCTACAATAATAGCTATTGTCAATGCCCACGTTATATGAACTATATAAATATGATAGTAAATTTAAAAATCATATATGTAACATACATTTGATTTGTTCACTTCATCCATTTGGTGGCCATTTTCCACATTCTGTAAATTTGCAAAGTAAAAGGATAATAAAAAATATCAACATAATGACAAATGAGGCAAGAAGATTAAAAATATATATGCTATATTTTACCAGAATGACTGGAATTGGTGGATGCTATAAAATCTTTTAAATAGGTGAATTTAACAAGGTTTGTTGACTCAAAACTTGGTTTTCAAATTTCATCTTTGAAATTTTTCTTCAAGCTTGCTAACGAAAGAAACAATGATGGCCAAGAGAAAGAAAGAAATACAAAAAAATAAAGAAATGAAAAACCATAGCTTCATAAATATACAAGAAATCCATGCATGAAAATATAAAAAACTTACAACACAAACTCAAACCAATTTATGCTTCAAATACACCTTCATCCACATCAAACAAAAAGATAAAAAACCATTAGACAAACAAATCAAACATATCCAAATCCAGAACACATTTTATACACTTTTTTTTGCATGTACGAAATCAAATTAGGCAAATGAAACAAATTGTAAAGAACAAATGAAATCAAATATCTAATGTCTTAAATAGATAAAAAAATATTCATCTCAGAAAGACATCAAAACTAACCAAAAATTTAGAGAAAAGAAACCTTAAAAACATTGAAAAAAGAAAGAACTGAGAAATCAATTCTTTGATGCCTCAATTAGATGATAAAAAATCAAATAATCACTTGAGATAAAAACTCCATTCTATACCTAAAAAAATGGAAAAAAAAATACTAACCATTCCCATTAGAACCGACACTGTCATATTTTCCCTGTCATGCCTAAAACTTGTCATAAAACTCAAACAAAAAACACACAAAAAATGCAAAAACTATTGTCTTCACAAATTGTAAGGAATCCAACAGAAAAGAGAATAAAAGAAATAAAATAAAAAGGTAGTTTCGATCAAATAGTGAAAGATTTGGATTGTTCGATCAAAGATTTGGTTGGCGAAAGAGGAAAAGAAAAAAAAATAATGAAGAAAAGAGAAAGATGAAGAGAAGAAAGGTGATGACCAGCGACTGGGCAAGGCTTAGATTTAGTTAAAAGAGAAGAAAGAGACAAATGAAAAGAATGAAGAAAAAGAAGGGCGAAGAAGATAAAGGACAAAAAATAGAGGATAGGAAAAAGGAAAAGAAATGAGAAGCTTATGGAGATCTTTTTTCTCAAATTCTCCCCTTATTTTTTTTATGACATTGAAGAGTTGTTCAAGCAATTGCAATCTCAGGACTGCTTTTAATATAAGTATAGATTATTTAAAATTAATTGCGCAATTGAAATTTAAATTTTTATTGCATTGTTATGATAATTCATTTAAATATTTTTTAATTTTAGTATCGAATAATATATTATTTTTTTAGATATATATATGTATATATGATTTCATCTGTTATCATATGAGATTTTAATTTGAAATTCTTAAATTCAAATCTTAAAATAAAGTAAAATTTAATGAATGAGTTGATTTAGATCTAATAAATCTTTATATAAATTAAAAAAATATTTCTTTAAAATAATGTTACCTTTTATAATTACCAGAACTCAACCTATTTTAAAGAATAAATGTATAATA